ATTCTTATGAAACCACTATGATATTGGTATAATTATTAGCACCTCTATTTTATAAATGGGGAAACTGAGGCACAGAAAGCTTAAAATCACATGCCCAAAGTCCCAGAGTAAGAGAATAGTAAGACAGGATTAGAACTCAGGCAACCATGCTCTTAACCATCACATTCAAATACTTTTTCTCTTTACTACGCTTTGAAATAGTACTTGTATCACAGAGTTGTTATAGGAAACATATTGAAACACAGTGACTGGCATACAAAAAGCACTGAATAAATATTAGTTCTCATTACCTCCATATTTTCCTTTTTCAAACATTCAGTAAATGTTTGTTGAATAGTTTGGGGTGTTAATAAGTGTAAATGAGGATGCAGTAAAGAGACAAACACATGCATACAAGTAGGCACAAACCCACACATAACTATGTATCCACAGACATACACATATGTGCACACCAAAAAGATTAAATGTGAGGCATGGAGAATCACTAAGTATCACACCACCAGTAGGGATGGGGAAGTTCCTCAAGGTTAGGGTAGGGAGCTAGAATAATAGAAAGAGTATTAAATATTTGAAGGCAAAAGCACCTCAGTGCTAATTTTAGGAGCATTCAGGAACAGGAAATCCCAGTGAATGGAGAGAAATAGCAATCAGGGCTGTCAGTCATAACTGGGCAGTCCTCTCTACACAAAGATGCCATTTGGGGATTAGGGAACAGTGTGGGGGCTGATATTCAATCTGCACCCCATTCACTATGTTACATACCTTAAAGGCTGTGTCCACCCCAAAGGGACACCTTTCTATCATTTATCTGCCAAGAAGGAGTGCCTTTTTAAAACTCTCATGAAGGCTAATGATGGCAATAAAGATCCCAAGAGAACTGAGGGATCCTAGGCAGAAGATAGAGCCTAGGAACAGGGTCTATTCTTGGGGTTTAGCAATAGTCAAAAAGGCCAGCATTCAGGGTAGAGAGCCCAAATAGTTCATTCATTTACTCAGATAATTATAGGTATCTACTGTATATCAGGCACTCTGCTGAAGAAGATGGGCACGGTCCTTGCTCTCATGTAGCTTCCAGACTCATGGAGAAGACAAATATCAAACAAGTAAACAAATATATAATGTCATATGGTGGTAAGTGCTATAATGGAATGGTAACAATTATAAGATTGAGAGTGACAAAGGGATAGGGAGGGTGACTTCAGGACAGATATTTAGCTGAGACCAGATGATGAGAAAGAACTGGTTGTGGAATCGTGGATCAGCCCTTTAGGAGGAATAAGCTGGTGTCAGAGTTTAGGATGAAATTAGAATAACATGTATGGCAAATTGTCAGAACCAAAGGAATACAACTGAGGAGAAGACTGGACCATCATGAATAGAAGATAGGAACACCTTTGGTATGAAGAAAATAAGGACACCCAGGGATTTGCCATACCAACTGAGGTATAGTTGAGAGTGAAAGGAGCAATGTTGTTAACTGCTTCAGGACAACAGGTGTAAACTGTCTGTCCTGGGAAAACCAGGGTGAATGGTTGCCTTACCCTGGAAGCAATGGATATTGCGTTTATTTAGCCAGAGTTTGGGCTGAGTCACTTGGTCTTGGAATGTGAGAGTGACTTAATTCCCTCATTCATTGGATGGAGGAAATGGCTATGAGTTGATCTAAGCCAAAAGAAACACAGGAGCTGTGGTAGATTCCACCGCCAAGAATAAAGGGAATAAAACTGAGCATCTGTTGTGTGTGAGGCAACTGTTTCCTCACTTAATCCTCACAACAAATCCCTTATCACTGGCACAATTGACGTCTCAACTCATGGATAATAAAATTGACTCAAGGAAGTTAAGTAATTTTCCCAAGGTTTTACAGCTCCAGAATAGCAAAGGTAGGAATCAAACTCAGACCAATTGGGTTCCCAGAGTTGAGCTTGCCTCTAAATCATATCTTCTTTATACAGAGGCAGGGGAAGGAAACTGACACAGGTATAGATGCATTCTGATATGGATGGAGAAGCATCCGCACATATTGGCACAAAAGCCACAGAAAGAAACAGACCCACCTAGAAGCTTTGCTATATGGATAAGGTTCTATGACCAAAACAGCTAGGGGGTCCCCCAATATCTGTTCTCCCCTTCTTACATTAGAGAATGCCCTGTTTTCAGCTGAACACAGTACCACCCAAGTTAACTATTTCATTTTCCAGCTTCCCTCACATTTAAGTATTACTGAGGATTTCATTTCCCTCACATCTAAGTGTGACCAAGTGATTGAGTTCTAACAAGGGGATGTGAGTGAAAGTGATAGCAGTAACTCTGCACAATCCTAGGGGGCACCATTCACAAGATGAGGAAGCTGTGAGTAGAAATGATGCTGCAACCTCAAATAGAAAAGGAGTGTTATTCCTGTGCCCCTTTTTGCTCCTGAGAGACCTACAGACAATGCACCTACAGATAATGACCGTAGAACTTGGATGCTCAGCCTCTTCAGCAAGCAGGCCAGGAAACCAAACCACAATCTCTACAGCAACCAACCCAGAATGGACAGGATTTGGTCAATAACTGACCTATATTTTTGGTCCCTGCTTCCAACTCAGGACCAATTAGAGAAAGTCAAATATGCTTTCAAACCAGTCACCTAAGATACTCAGTTCTAATCAGTCTGCTTCCAACTTTCTGATGCCAACAACCTCCAATCAGGGCACACTTGCAGCCTCCCCTCTTTTCCACATATAGCTTTCCCACTTTGCTACCTGCCTTTGAGTCTCTGTCAGACACAAGGCTCCTTGCTACAGCAAGCTCTGAATCAGTAGCCTCTGCTTGTTCTGTTTTGGGTGGTCTTCTGACACTCCATTCTCGCTGAGTGGAATGCAGACATGCTAGGATGCAAGGATTCCCAGTCTCTGGTATTGTAAAACTGCCATGCACCCTCGGCTGTTAGTGAGAGAGAAACACTCTTCAGTCTTTTAAGGCACTGCCATTTTGGGGCTCTGTATCAGCAATCTAACCAAATGCGTGTGTGTGTGTGTGTGTGTGTGTGTACACACCAACCCTGGGGAACCATTTTAGTTCAGATTGAATAGTCAAACTTCATCTCTTTAAACCATACTAATTTGGAACTTGTGCAAGTTTGCCCTGAGGCAGCCTGGGTAAAAGGGTACATTTGCACTGGATTAAAAATCAGTGTTTGCTGAGCAGATTCATGTACTCCAGATTTCACTCATTTAAGCTAGGATTTTTAAGGCACTTTAGCATCTTCATTTGCATATAGTGATTGATATGCTAATTACAAGAGACTCATACCTATTCATTAATACTTGGAGTTTACTTAGTCCAGGCAGTTTCAGAATGCTTGTAATACAAAGGAATAAAGCCACATTTATGCACACAAAATTAAAATTTTCATTAATTCTGACTGGACTCTTCTTAATCAGCACAACAAACAAATTTCACTGACTCTTGGGTGTGTCTTTTGTGTCTTGATGCAATTTTGTCTCCCATTGGATACTGCTTTGTTCACTATGTGGCCCAGGATTACAGGACACCAAATACTATCTGATGAGAATGTATAAGGACAATTAATTAATGCCCCTATATAATCCATCTCTTTTCTGGTCACCAAAGGTTCAGGGTCCCAGCTTTCAGGCAGGAACAGCTCTGACTGCTTCCCTGTCCCTTCTTCACATGGGATGTACAGAAAGGCATACCCATAGAGGGTTTCTTGGTGCCACAGGCCCAGTCATTTGATGACTTGTATGATACTTGGATCAGAAAGATGGGTCAAGACACAGAACTAGTATCTTAGACTTTTGTCTTCCATCCTTATAAGCCAGACCTGATCTTGAAGGACCTTCTACTGTGCTTGACAGAGCAGACAAAAGCAAAGAGGCCTCTGGATGTCCTGCAACTCTTCTTGGCCACCTATGGGTACAATGGGAAAGCATGAAGTTCCTTGGGACATCCTTATCCATGACTCAAGACCTCCAACATCCATATACCCACTCACACATTCATCCATCAAATAATGTTAGCAAGATACAGACTTGACCCTCAAAGGGTTCATGGTCTATGTTGGAAGTAGACATTTACATAAATAGTTTTAATCTAGTGTAATTGAATTCACAGGGACAAACAAGTGAGCACAGAAGAGTGAGCAGGTAACTCAGGCCAGCTGCGAAAGGCTTCACAAATGCCAAGCAAGTAACACTTACTGGGAGCGTGGGTTCCCCATGTAGAGGAAAGCATCCCAGGAAAAGAAAACGGCATGGGCAAAGGCACAGAGACTTGAAGGAATCAAGAAAAGCAACATCCTCTGTAAGGTTAGAGCAGAGAACGAGGGAGAAGTAGAAGATGAGCAGAAACTGAGTTGGGGTAGTCCCAGGTGCCATGTTGGAGCACTTGGTCTTCATTCTGAGGTTATGGCCACATTCCAGGCAAGACTGGCAACTCAAATGCCTAGAGGAACCAGGAAAATGCTAATCAGCAAGGGAGGCTGGGTGGGAGTTGGAAAACTGGGGCGTTTTCCATCCAAAGGTGGCAGCCAATTGTTGCCATTCTTTAGTGCAGGCTCAGTGCGGCCAAGTTTCTATTAAAAAAAAGAAGCAGCAGCTAGAAATCCATATTTTTCATATGAGTGCTCCCAGTTTTTAACTGCTGGTAGTTATTTCAAAATATCATGCTGGCCAAGCAAAAAGATAGCTGATTGTCTCATCAGCCCCTGGATCTTCAGTTTGGCACATTTGATCTAAAATTTCTAAGCAAAGAACTGACAGAGACTTATATTGCAGAAAGAGAATGTCTCACAGATCTCACATGATCTTTCTGCCCTAGCTTCTGCCTGAAAGAACCTCTTTCCCTGTGTCTACCCCTCGCCCCTCCCCCTTGTAATCTTTGCCCCATCCCCCCATCCCTTCCAGACCACCCCCAGCACCAGCCATCGTCTTGCACTGGGAGGAGCTGAATGACTCAACCCTGCTGTAGAACTGCTTATAGATCAGAGTTCAACATTAAGGACACGAGAGAGCCATATTTATTTCACATGGACAAGCATGATTCTGTCGCATGCTGAACATGAAAGCTCGCGTGAGCAGAGTACCCGTAACAGCAGAATTATGTGCTTTTGTCCACAGGGAGCAGGGAGAGTCATAAAATGGTTTTCAGAGACAGTATCCTTCTGGTACAGTTGAGACTACAGGCTCTGAAGTCACTGGTTTATCTAATCAACAAAGGGTCTATCTCGGAGTGGCCAGGAGGGTGCTTCCAGCTTTGCAACTGCTTGATGAGTTGCTAAGGTCTGAGGAGGTCAGAGGATGGTCTCCCATCCCACCACTCAGGGCATCTCAGGGAAATGAAGCTCAGAGGGAAGGTACATGCCACTTAGAACTAACAAGGCCACTCCTGAGTAGACTGTAACAGGGACTGCCTGCTGTGTTCATGGCAACAGAATCATCAGCAACTTATAATAGGTTATTATTATTAGAGGAGCCACTCTTCTTAAAGCAATCCCCCAAGGCCTCTTATGGGCAGAAGGGAGAACGATTCTGGAATTGTTGGACATGCCTGGAGCAGATCAACTTTGCCTGGGCAGAGTGGTGAGAGATAAGGTCAGGAACCCCCTGGTCTCTTGGCCTTAGCTGGGCTTCCTGGCTCCAGGTGATAGAACTCAAGATGGGAAAGAAGGGTGTTGGAGGAAGATCAGAGGCTCTGAGAGCAAACTTCATGGAAGAGACGAGCAGAAGAGCCCTTGCATCAGAAGAACCCTTGCATCTTATTCCCACCTGAAGTCCTGCCCAACAGTTTCATAAAATTTAATATTATAAGGTCTATAAAATTCCCGGAGCTGATCTATCACTTCAGGATCAATCTGTACATGAGTTCTCCCTTTTGATTTACCCAGGCATCGAGGCAGGAGGCTCGATTCTGTTTTTTTCAAGCAAGGGAATCCTTTGGTCTTATTGAAGTAGAAGTGCTTGTCTGTGATGAATCTCTTAATGCCCAGGAAGTCCTGGACCCGCCCCATCTCGCCGGCCGGGTCAGTGATGAGCCGCTCGCCACTGACGAAGTGAATCTGAGCCAGCGGAAAGTACTGCAGCCAGCTCTCCAGATGAAGCACATACATGCCGATGCGGATGGCGTTCCACGACACGTCCACCAGGCCCAGGGTGCGGTTGCGGAAGGAGAGGCCCTCGAAGGTTGGAATGTCAGGCTTCTTAGACAGCGTCTGGGTGTAATCAGAGATGGCCCGGGTCACGGGATTCCGCACGACCACGATCAGCTTGGTGTCTCGGGACATGTTGAAGATACGTCGAGGGGCTTCTTGAGTGACGAAGTAGCTGGGTGTCTTCTCCAGCGTGATCTGGCTCTCGAGAGTTCTGGGCATCAGGCTCCTAAAGACAGAAGCAACATATCATCAAACAGGGTTCCTCCGGGGGCCCGGGACTCAAGCTCAGTGTCAGCACCTTCCTCTTCCTAGGGACCTGTTGTGTCTTCCCTCCTCTCCTCTGTCTCATTTGAGGCTCTTACCTGGTCAGAAACCCCTGTTGTTGTTGTTTTTAAGTCTTTAATAGGTTTGTCTTAAGACTGGAAACAACCTAAGGTCTGTCAGTATGGGTTAAATAAATTGTGGAATAGCCAATGAATGAATAGAGATAGGTAGTTCTGTACGCATCAATATGGAATGATTCCTGACATAGTGTGTAAAAATGAAAAAGGGTGAGATGCAGTATGTCTATTTCAAGTTGGATACACAAGGAACCAGTAAAAGCTGTTGCTTCTAGAGAGGGAAGTTGTGGTGCATGTAGAACAAGGAGATGAGGAATAAATGAGAACTACTTTTTATTGTATAATCATTTGCACTGCTTGAAATTTTTAATGCATTTATTACATATTCAAAAGATACAAAGTAAGCCACTGATTATTGTTCTGGCAAAAATATATTCTCCAAATATATTAAGAAAATCTTTTGGGAGGGGGCAAAAGTCTTGTCTTGTAGGAATAGAAGCTGTTTTAGATAGAGGTCTGACATCATCTGACTAAAAAAAATCTGAAATACATCCTTTGTGTAGGCTTGAAGGAGCATGGAACTCCAGGCTGGTTGGGGCCTCCGTCAGAAGCCAGACAATGCAACCCTCTCTCTCTATTTTTTTTTTTTTTTTTAATTTCCTGGCTCTTTGTTGAGACTTTAAGGGAGATGGGAGCAGGCACTGAAGTCTCCTCCCCAGGTGCGTCTCTTTCAGGCTTTGATGGATGGAAGCACCCTGGTTCCCAATCGCTAGTTCTTGATGAAGGTCATACACTAGTTTTTCTTTCTTTTTTTTTTTTTGAGTTGGAGTCTCACTCTGTCGCCCAGACTGGAGTGCAGTGCCGCTCCCGGCCACCGCAGCCTCGACCTGCTGGGCTCCGGCGATCCTTCCGCCTCAGCCTTCCAAGTAGCCGGAATTACAGGCATGCGCTACCACGCCCAGCTGATTTTTTAATTTATTGTAGAGACGAGGTCTCGCTGTCCAGGCGGGTCTCGAACCCGCGGGCTCAGGAAGTCCACTCAACTCAGCCTCCCAAAGGTGCAGGATTACAGGCTGAGCCACCGAGCCCGGCTCACTAGTTTTTCTTAATCCTGGGTGCACATTAGAACCACCTGAGAAGTTTTTCTTTCTTTTTTAAAAATAAAAATATCCAGACTCTGTCCTAGGCTAATGGATTCAAAATATTTGAGGGTGTATACTTTTGTAAAGTTCCTCAGATCATTTCAATGTAAAGGCAGAAACATCTTTCCCCAATTATCCTTTCCTCTGTCCTATGATTTGCCAACCCCCAACACAGTCATCCTTGCATTCTTGTGGAATATCAACTCCTCCCTTTCCAGTCTTCTGCTTCCTAGAGCCTATCATCATCTCCACCAATAACCTGGACTCATTGTTCTTTGACCTTTGCTACTCCAAGTATTTTCATTTTCTCTTCATTTCACTGACTCTTCCTCATGGTCATACTTTGGATCTTGCTGTTGAAATTGCCCTAACTCTGAAATGGTTAACCTAGAAATTTCATCCTGGGACTATGTCGTGGGTTGAATGTTGACCCTCCAAAAGATATGTCCACCCAGAACCGTTGAATATGACCTTATTTGGGAAAAGGGTCTTTGAAGATATAATTAAGGACCTGAAGATGGGATCATCCTGGACTAGAGTGGACCTTAAGTCCAATGATGAATGCCCTTATAAGAGAAGAAAGGAGAGGGAAGACAGAGAATATAAGGTGACCTGAAGTTGAAGGCAGAGAGGGAAGCAAGATATCTATAAGCCAAGAACACCAAGGATTGTCACCAGAAGCTAGCAGAGAGGCACAGAGCAGATGCTTCCTCAGAGTGTCCAGAGGGAGCCAACCCTGCTGACAATTTGGTTTCAGACTTCTGGCCTCAGGATTGTAAAATAGTAAGTTTCTGTTGTTTCAAGCTATCCAGTCTGTGGTAATTTGTCAGATTACAACCTTGTTTCTTTCCACCTTTACCATGGTCTCAAACTCATGATGCCTATTTTCAAATTCATCTAGGATCCTTATGGCTTCATTTTCTTCTATAACTTCCTTGGAACCAATGAACAATCATTTCAATAGAATTGTCATCATAACCATCATTGCCATCATCATTCTCATCAATTTTCTTGTACTAATTGCTCTCCCAGTCGCTAATAATGCATCACTCCAACCTTTCATTCTTTCTGATTCTGTCCCTAGGTTGCCAAACAGCTGTGGAGGAAATTTGCTGGCCCTTACATGTGGAATATATATATATAATATTTTATACTTATATATATGAGATATATTAGCATATATATTAATTCTAGCTTTAGTTGAACCCTCAGCACTGCTTAATAATCTTGTTTGTCTTTACATACCCACTCTATTATTCTTCACAGTAAATGATCCCAATTCTCACCATAAGCTCGGACTCTAATTCTGTCACTCATCCTTAGTACTCCATCCCAACACTAGGCTCCCACAATGCTAGAAGGGTACAAACTGTCACATCTCAACTCCCTCAATCTTCCTCTCCTCCATCTTAAAATGTTATTTGCACCCAACCTGAGTTCCCCTTCTAGTCTCGGAGAACAAGGTAAGAAGGGGCTCACTTGCTCACCTGTGCTTCATCCCTTCCCCTATTGCCTTCCCTGCAGATCTGTTCATTAGCCTGTTGAACCTTTAAATTCATCATACCACTAGACTGATACATTGATATATTGTTTCCAGGGCCAAGATCTATGTGGATCCAGTACAGGTAGGCCAATATTTTTTAAATAAGAAATAATTATGAGTAAACAATCACGAGGGCACTTTAAGAGAATTCTTTGGCTGGGTTTTCTTAGAAACCTGTCTATATTATTATATATAATGATCTTGGCACATGCTGTAATCAGGTGTTGGCCTTTATGACAAGAGTAGACAAGATTACATAAATAATACTTTAAAATCTGCTTAAGGACTTCCCAAACTCTATGGGGGTTACTGATATAAAGATCTTCCCCAACACAAGTTGACTGGAAAAGCCATTCAACAGGTTTCTTTGCAATGTCCTTCAATACACTGCAGAATAGCCAAGAGCATTGGGGATGCGTTTTCGGTGTGTATTTGACTATGGAGCTATAAACTTTTTCCAGGAGCATCAGTGAACATCTTCTTATCAGTTTGGAACATCTTCTTGTTTTCAGTTTGGAACATCTTCTTGTTATCAGTTTAACCCAAATCAAGTGATTTCCAGAGTATCACATCATTTCCCTGTCTGTGCACTAAAATGAAGCTTCATCCTTCTAATTCCTAATTGGCACATCAGTTGCAAAACCAAATGACACATACTAAGGTAGATGTAAGAACCAGACTGTAAACAACATCACTGTAATCATATTGCAAGTCAAAGGGCCCCTCTGTACTTCAAATTTTCTATATCCCACCCCAAATCACCCTTGCATATTTATCTCCTTAGATAATTAGAATAGAGAACTGGAGTCATGTTGATGATAATGAGCAAGGGGACTGTTTACACACCTGTATGCTCTGTGCACATTGGGGGAGGGCATTAGACTTGGCCTTGAGGCCTGTGTTTCTTCCTTATGTCATTGTTTAAATTTTGCTTACTTGTTTCCAGCTGCTAATGAACAGCTGAACTTTTCTCTCACCCTGTGACCAGCTTAAGCTTCTGCCTCCATTCTTTTCTATATAGCTTTGCAAAAATTACTGAAAGAATAAGCTAACACTCACTAGTCTTTCTTTCCATCTGTTATTTGAACTTACTCAGCAACAATATTCCCTACATCTGGTAAAAGCCCCCAGATGTTTCTTTGAGGAACCGCCATGCTTGCTTTGGACAAAATCATAGTGGGTCAAGGGGTGGGTGCATGACCTAAGGTGGTCCATTAAGTATAAATTGTGTTATAAAGACTAAAAATGTGTCATAAAGACTGAAATGATGCTCTTCCAATTAGACATAGGAACCTGGAAGATATTCCCCATCAGTTCCCATTACCAAAGCTATCTTTGTTCTTACCCTTTCTGAGACCTGGTTTTTCCACTTTCCTCTGGATTCTGTGAGTTATTATATATCCTTTGGGTAAATTATTACTTCTTACATAAATTAAAGTTGGCTCCTGTTGCTTGCAACCCAAAAATTGTCACCAATCTTCTACAGTCTTGTTTCTTCTTCTTCTTTTCTTTGGAAGTAATGCTCACTACACTTGATTATGGAATCCGTGAAGGCAGAGCAGGGCATATCTTTTTTGCAGTTATATCTACAGAATCTACCACAATCTGTGGCATAAGAAAGGTCTTCACCAGTGTTTTTGAGGTGCAAATGAAGCCAACAACCTGTCTAATCCAGTTGTGTTTTGAAGCCCTCATACCCTTGGCAAATTCCCAACTCTTTCCAAGCCAGTCTGGATCTTCCCAGTGGTCTATCTCCTACTTCTCTGATTCTGTGTGATCACGAATGACCTCATTCCTTCCCCAGCCTTTGACCATCACCTGAGAGATGTTAATTCATAAATCTGTAATTGCAGCTCCAACGTAAATCTTTCCTATATTCTTAACTGGGGGGCCCAGCTGTCTATGGACTGGATACCTCAATTCAACAACTGTCTCACCATTTTTCTCCCTAAAAATCACCATGAAAGCAGAAACACTTCAGAATCATGCTCAACTCTTCTTCACATCTACTGTGTTACCTCCTCCAACTTTCTGAAGTCTTCCCATCCCACCCCCAGTCCTCTAACACAGCTGCAGGCTCTTGTCAACTCTTCCTCAGACAATAGTTATCTCTGACCTCTTGTCTCCTTTTGAAGCCATTCTGCATTCTGTGTCCACCAGGGAATCCAATCATGGATTCTAAACTTTGTACAGCAAATTC